TTATGGAGTTAATGTGGGAAACATAACTTAATTATTTTAATTATAAGAAACAGCTTTCTATCACAAATATTTTTGGAAGTAGTGAGAAAACAGTAACAAAATAAAAATTATAATGGTTGTCTTAAAAGAAAAACAATGAGAAAGCTGTGCCAAATAGATCCTGATGCTTCATTTGGGATAGCTTTCTAATTGCTTTCTAAAATTGCTTTTTAGTACTAAAAAGCTACGTTAAAAAAAATAAGAAAGTTTTCCCATGCGAAACATTAATGTGGGTTTGAGCTTGGGTTCGTGATGGAGAATAAGTCATCTTCTTAACCATTGCTCATCCACCTTTATTTTACCCTTCATGTTTTCTTCTAATTCATGTCTTATGGTTTGTTTAGAACGACTGCAACTTTTTGTAAAATGAAATTAACTTTTATGAAAGTTCATATAAAAAGCATCTTTCTAGCGCAAAAAAAATGTTGAAAGCCGTAAAAAAGTAGTTGTTAATGGAAACTCTGATTGCAGTTTAAAGAGCAAAGAAATAAGAAAGCTATCTTAAATGTACCCTTAAACCTAGCATCAAAATTTTCTTCCAAAACCTCTGAATCTAACCTTGTAGCTCAAAATCGGCACGATATAAAGACCTTTTATTCTATCAAACATAATTGTCTTTTTTATAAAAAAAAAATGAGTAACAATTTACAGCGATGTGATTTTGAATTCACAACATTAGGCAGAAAAATGAATTTCTCAACCGCAGAAACAATCAAACTACCATTATATAATACTCTTCTACAAACAAAGAACTCTACTTATCATTCTAGAATGTCAATTTAGGATTCTTTCAAGTGTTTGAAGTTTAGTTTGCTTCCCAATTTCTCATATATAAATTTCATTTGAGATTTTTTTTTTTTTTTTCTTTTCTAAAGTAGTGTTTTAGTACAAAATTTTTTATACTAGAAAGTCATTTTATAAAGAAGTAAAAAAACTGTACTAAATGAAATCTTAATATAAAGATTAATTTTTTTCATAAGAAAAAGTTTTCCCTGCTGTATTTTTTCATCATTTGTTGGTATTTGATTTTTCAGAAGACTTTCATATTATGTTGAAAGTTGATTTGTGTTATATTGCTCAAATTTCTTAAGTGGAATTAGAAAATAAATTGTGTTCCATTTTTTACAATTATATCATTTTAGGATTTATGCATGCATGTATATGCACTTTTTAAATTTCTTGATTGTTTGATAGTGAGCTTGCAACTCCATAACACACCAAATAATTTGTAGAATGGAAAATTTAAGGGATGGAAGATGGATGCAAATATGATTTTTTTCTGTGTTTCAAAGGGGTGGAATTCATCAATCAACTGATCACACACTTCAAAAAAAAAAAATAATGGTACATTATAATAAGAAAATATGCAACTATAGCACGAATGAGATTAAATTAAAAAAGTGTGAAAATTATGAAAATAAAGCTCAACCAAGGGTTAACTAGTTGGGATGGGATCTTAGAAGGAAGAGAATTGATGCATTCAGTGAATGATGAAAAGAAAAAAAAAAGGCTTCATTTGGGATGACTTTCTTATTATATCTTAAAGCAACTTTACTAGAAAGCCGCTTTAACAAATTATTTATCTAACACACAATGGGGTTATTACATTCAAAGACTCGCCTCTACATTCGAAGGACTCGACCACATAGACTCATGCTTTAAGTAACCGGCGGTTTTAAATACATACGACGGCTAACTAAACCGCCGGGAAAACGTCGGTAAATAGACCGCCGGTAGGCCGTCGGTCAATTAACCGGCGGCGTCACAGCCGGAAAACCGCCGGCATAAAATCCGGTTGAAACCGGCGGTCGGAGCCGCCGGAAAACCGACGGTTAAAAACCACCAGTAATAGTTTCCTACGCGATTTTTTCCGGCGGCACAAAAACCGCCATAAAGCCGCCGGTAGTTAAAAAAACCGCCGGTAAATATATGCTAACCGCCGGAAAAAATCGCCGGATTTCGACGTTTTTCCTATAGTGAACCCAGAAGGATCTGCTGAGTTGGTTGTTTGTTGAAGAAGTCTAAAAATAAGAGTACGTATTTTGCACCTCCCAACAAGTGAGATGAATAGAGCCTATATTAACCAATTAATTTTTTAAGGAAATCACAAAAGTGAGGACAATTCCAAAAGTTAAATTTCCAAACTTATAGTCCTACAAGAAGGGGACTAACCCATCTGACCGTGTTACTTAATTTCAATCGTTGATGTCGTTCCATGAAGGCTTCGTTTGGGACGGTTTTTTATTGCTTTCTAAAACGAAGTTTTAGTACAAATTTTTTTATTTTTAAACTAAAACTCCGTTTTAAAAAGCAATAAAAAAACCGTCCCAAACGAAGCCGAAGTTTTCCCTCCAATGGTTCACATGCAACCCTTAGGCAAAATTACTTATTTTGTCGAACTCAAGAGGATGTTCATACCAATTTGCAAGGGCTTAGAGACAGCTAAAGAGCTTGTAAGCCTCCAAGAGGCGCCATAAGTTAGGCAGGTTGTTCCAAAGCATTGATTTATAGCTCCAAAATAAAATGCTTGAGGTGAAAGTCCTACAACCAGCTGTTACGCAAGCTGCTCTAACATAGGGCTTAAGGGAAGGCCCATTCCATGGTATTGGGAGTCTAGTAACCCAAGATGATGATTAAATTTCTTAAGCTCACCAACAGCCATGTCAATATCGAGAATTAGAACTGAGTGGTTAAGTCTTCCTCGGGCATCCATCCTAGAGAACTAAACATCATGCATGATTGGCCCCATGACCACGAGCATGATAGAATTCGCCAAATAAAGCATCGTGGGGATAAAAGGCCAAATGCATCATATGATCGACACAACCCTTGTAATAATTCAAAAATGTGAAATAAATTTATCTAAATAACATGAAAATTCTTAAAATAGAGTACTTTGACACTGATCTGATGAGCACTGTTGTGCTAGGCTACGAATAGTATTTATAAATGTCAAGTAAATTTATTTCACATTTCTAATCTATTACAACCCAGTCTACAAATAACACCGTTATAGGCAAAGAAGTTTCAAATTAATAGTGCCACCTGCACCATGAGTTCAAGATGCACCATGAAAAACTCATGAAGAAGTACACATCTTGGTCACCAATATTCCACAATAACTTTTGTGTGAGTAACTATGATCAAGCTAGTGGAGGTAGTTCAAAATTAATAAAGAATTCTTTAAGCACATATCACCCATGAAGTTAAATGCCCATACAATAAACATTTTTAAATATTAAGCCTTTCATAAAGACCATATTAGTACAATATTGAGTAGTGCAAGCATCTCCAGATGTTCATTAATGTCCTTGTCTAGGTGAGAAAATTGAAGAAGTTCATGCTCATCAACCCTAGTTACCAACCAAAAAAAAAAAAAGTCAAAATAAAGAATAATCAAAATCTTGTTGATAACTGCAAGAATATGTACAACACTTAGTTGTTTTTAATGTGTTAGCTACTTACTAGAACAATGTCTTAATAAACTTGGAGATCTGTGATGCAAGCTAGTTTCTCCTCTATAATTTTTATGCCATATTATATTGATTAATTGCTTTCTTTTAGCTATACAGTTCTCGGTAAGAATTGGATTATACCCTATTATTTAAGAGGAATAAAAATCTTTTGTCATTTTCTTTCAGTAAAACTTGGGTGAGATTACAGGAATTGCTAGATTTGGATTTTTTTTTAACACTTTATGATTGTTATTAGTTGTGTGAGTGATCCTTCTACATTGCATCGCACTACTGAAACCAGCAATCAATGTATTTTCTAAGCACAAAGGTCATAGCTTAGCTGGTGTTAGCAAAAGAACTGATATTGGTATTATTAATTGGTTGGAAGAAATCAGGTAGTTTCTTTGGCTTCCGGACCTGAAAGGTTGGAGCATCTTGATGCTTTTATATCTTAGTTTTTATTTGAGACAGTTTTATTACAGCTTTTTGAAAAACTGTTTTATGAAGCTGCAAAATAGCCGTCCCAAACGATGCCATAATAGTTCTGATTATTTTTTGAATTTTTGTGATGTATGAAGCTTTAGATGGTGTAAATTTGAAACTTTTATTTGGTCCAGTGAGCGTACGTAGAGCTACGTCCGGTCGGCACTAAGATTGTATGCACAAAATGAGAAATACCGAACAAATACCGAGCAATACCAATAATAACTAGAAAATATCATTAGGTGAAGACGAAATATCGAGTTATACCGAGCCATACCGAGTTATACCAAAAAATACAGAGAAAAATTTGGTATTTTTTGGTATAACTTGGTATTGCTCGGTATAACTCGGTATTGGTTTACCCAGAGCGGTATTCCTCCATATTATCAAACAATACCTATCAATACCGATCAAATACCGAGCAAAAATTGGGTAACAAGCCTCTGACCTACGTCCGGTCAGAGGACGTAATAATTGTTCGGCGTTGACATACTTTGTAATTTTAGATTTATGAAATATTTTTTATTATTTAAGGAAAAAAAGCTTATGTAATTTTTCATATGTGATATTTAGATATTTGATTGAAGAATTAACAATTGAAATATTGTGAGATTACAATCTGATTGAACAACACGTACAATCAGATTTCACACGAAAACTAACATATCTAAATATCGCTAGCTTTTGTTTACAATCAATCATAATTTGAACCTTTGAACTTTGTCCATATCATTTTTTTTTTTTGGGAGTTCCATGTCCAATCCATTTTTTAAAATCTTGCCCAATATTACATATTTTAAACACTTTAGGGTGTATAAGAAAATTAAATTGACATTGATCTTCGAAAATATAAGAAGTCAAGTCAAACAATTTCTCTAAACAATCAAAATTATCAACTTATCTAATGAATAAGAAAACCGCACTCCAATCGAACTTCTCATTTTTCACTTCAAAATAAAATAATAATCATATCAAATAGTAATTTGATCATCTTCAACAGAACTTCATTTCTAACACAAAAATAAGAAATATATTCCATATATATAGATTCTTTCTCATCCTCATTTACGCTAAAACATAAATTTCTGTGAATAGTGTGACACAAATATTTTCATGGCCTACAATCTACAAATATAGTTAACGAACTCATCAAAATCTTCTTTGGAGCTCCCTCCATCCACTACTGCAGCTCGCAGGCTCTCTCCAACTTCCCTTGCCTTCTTCCTTACCTCCCCCCCTTCATCCCCTACCATCAGCTTCACCACTGCGTCTTTCACTGTCGCCGCTGCCACCACTTCGTCCTTATCCGACCACTCTTTGACGACCATCCCCACCTTCAGAATCTTCGTGACAAGAACTGTGTTCGTCGGCTGATCGGAGTGTATTGGCCATGCGAGGATTGGCACCCCGTTGCTCATCGCCTCCATGCACGAGTTCCATCCACAGTGACTTAGGAAGCCACCGGTGGACGGATGGGCCAGGATCTGCAACTGCGGTGCCCAGCCTCTCACCACCACGATCCTCCCCTTCGTTCTTCATTCGAATACTGAAGTCAGTAACTAGAATATGCAGTAAAATGAAGAAAATTGGAGGAGAATAAGGCTTCTACTACTAATTAAAATTTTTATTGAGAATATTCTAATCCAAATTTTCTTCAGGGAAAGAAAAAAAAATTTTAGAGTTCATCACGCAATGAAAAATCTTTAATAGAAGTAGTTTTACGTTAAATTAAACTTTGTTAAAAAATAATTATTTTCATCAACTTTGGCTACCAAGATAATTTTATGATTGCCTCAAATCTAAGAGGATGTAATTTTGTAAATTTTTTTTTTCTAAAATCCCTTTTAGAATAATATAAAGTTTTTCGAAGCACCTTCTAAAAATGTAATTAGATTATTATTCTGCGTTTAAAATGTCAATGGCAAAAATTTATTTTTTAGCTTTCTCCCTGTTTTAGTTTTTATATGGTAATCATATTTTTGTTTAAATATTACTATTTTACTCTTTTTGTTGTTTTTAATTTATATAGTATGAATCAAATTTTTAAATCAGATTTAGGATATATTTGGGATGATTATAATATTTGTAAAATTATTCTACGCAAAGTATTTTAATTATTCTGGTCGTAAAAAATAACTTTCCACTATAAAAGTTTATAAAAATATTATTGAGAAAATAGCGAAAAAATATCAACCAAATGAAATAAATATTTCTATCTAAAAAATAAAGCAACGAAAAAAATTATCTCAAACAAACACTAAGATACAAAAAGCAATACACTATTCATTTAGAAAAGAACATAATTAATTAGCAGATGTTTAAACCGTTGCAGTAGGTCCTAAAAAGTGCTGCGAAAGCCTGAATTTTAGTAGTGATTATAATATTAATCATAGCTTTCAAAATCCTTATTTTACAATTTTACAATCATCCTAAATCAATCCTTAGTTATCAAATAAGCCATTTTTATCGATGCGAAATAGCCATCCGAACTCCGCACGTAATAATTTATGGGTTTCCAACCTCTCCACGCTGATATATTTTTAAATCAAGACTTGCATTGAGTGCATTCTGACTTGACTCATAACCTTCGTAATTATCTTTATTTAATTAGGCGATGTGACAAACATTAGAGATTAACTTCAAAAATTATATCTTGGTACCACTTCAACTAACTCAATTTATTTATTATATAACGTGTGATTTTAATGCATTGATTTCAATTTTCAACTACACATCACAGTCATGTCACTAAAGACATTATTACCTAACGTAACATATAAATATGTTGCTTATTGTATCTCCAATCATACCACGTCATTCGTCTATCGTTTGTTTGCAGTTATCGTAATTCTAATAATTTAATTATATATATATATATATATATATATATATATATATGTACTAAACATAAATTATTTATGTAATTTTTAAATCGTATGAAAGTTCATACATAAATAAATATATTTTATTTTAAAGGATGTTTTATACGATTTAAATTTTTTAGGGTTATGTAAATAAATATAAAAAATGTAAGATTCAATATATAAATATATAATTTTTTTTTTTATTTTTTAAATAATTAAGTTCTAAATTAATGTTGTTCTGTACAGAATCACCTTTCTTCCAATTCTGCCAATGCCGAATCCTCTTCCTCTTCCTCTTTCCCCTCAGTCTCAAATATATTGCAGCGATCAGCTTCCCGACGAACCCAAATAAACCTCTCCCCGCTTTCCTCCAGTCCCGCCGCAATCTCCTTCTCCTGCTCCCTCGTCATCGTCGCCGTCGTCCCGAACGAAACATACACCACCGAAGCTACAGGCTGCCGATCAAGCCACTTCAGACACCGCTCGTCGCTCCGCCCTCGGTCTGCCAGAATAGGATTAAGCGGACCGATGGCAAATATCCTTTGCCCCTTCCACGCCGGCTCGCTCGAAAGCTGGTTAAGAAACTCGCCTTCGATGCTCCGGCAAGTGTTAAAAATCCTGCCTTTGACGGCAATTGGGATCCTCCGCTGCTGCCAAACCCAATCGAGGAACTCTTCACCGAAACAAGAGATTAACTTGGCTTGGCAGAGCTCGGATTTTCCGAGGAAGAAGAGGTTGGAGATGGCGGAGGAGGTGTGGAAAGAGAAGGACTCTATTTTGGGGGAAGCGGCGGAGTTGGCGAAGGACATGGACGAGTCATGGAGGAGGACGACGCGGCGGTGGGATAGAGAGAGCGAAAGGAGGATGGGAGAGAGGTGGGGGAGGAGCTGGGAGGTTGAAGCGTCAAAGGAAGCTTGATGGTGAGAGGGGAATTTGGTGGTGGCGGAATTGGGAGAGGGGTAAGGGGAAGGCAAGGGGAGGGAGGTGAAGGGGAGGTCGTGGAAGTGGAGATGAGAGGAAGTGGGGGAGGAGGAGGAGGAGAGGTTCCAGCCATGAAAGCGTTGGCTTGCTTGTCGATTGTGTGTAGCGGAGCTGACGTAGTGGACGGCGATGCCGCGGGTGGCGAGGTGGGCGGAGAGGTGGAGGAGAGGGTTCAGATGTCCTTGCATGGGAAGAGGAACCATTACAACTGCGATGGCCGTTGACTCTTGCGAATTGGTTAGTGAGACCATCATATTTTGGAGGGGAATTGAAAATTTTGATCGGATTAAGGGATGCGATTGCTACTTATATAGGGTAAGGGAAGAATTAATTGAGAAAGTTTTGTATCAGGATGATTTTCAAATTTATTATACTTTTTGCAATAACTAAATTAAAAATTTGTTGTATAAAGGAGATATAAGAATCATTCTTTTCACATAAATAAAATATATGATTTTTTATAAGAATTACATAAGTGAATAATTGATACCCAGCAGAAATATTAGATCTTGGCAAAAGTTTGTAAATTGTTGCAGCAAATGTTTGTGGTGGTTATTGTCAAGAGTTTATGATCATCGACGAAGTAGAGATCGGGTGGCGGTCGTTAGTGATGACGAGAATCAGAAATGTCAATGAACTCTTATCTTCTCTTAACTCTTGGACACCCCCATTTATAGGGCAAATTATTGCATCCGGTCACCGGACGCGGAAAATAAGTTTGGACATCCAATAAAAATTTGCGTCGTCACCTGCGCTTTTGACTTGCACTTTAGTTGTGCTTTACCTGTGCTTTACCTGCGCTTTACTTGCGTTTTACCTGCATTTTGACTGTGCTTTTTACCTGCGCTTTAGTTGCGCTTTACTTGCGCTTTACCTGCGCTTAATTTAAAATAATATTTTATTAATATTCGGACCTATCTCCGCGTCCGGTGATCGGATGCAATAATTCGCCCATTTATAGAGAACGATATCCTATTTATAGAATTTATGATATTTCATTTTGATAAATTGGGTCAGAATCTAAAACACGTTATTGTATGGTTCATATTAACTCACTTGATTATGAAATATTTACTCAACAATAAAGTGCCTTAGCAATGATAAAATTTGGTGTGGGCTTGTTGGATTTTTCTCGTTTAGCCGCTCGATTTGATTGCAAGCATGTCAAATTTGAACATCATTTACTCATCCAATTAATGTTTAAAGTTTTCAATTGTACTCTAATTGCTTTATTTGATCTCATTGATGCTCCAATTGAACCGTTTTTGGTATCATTGAGTTCGTCTTATCAACACGTTTAATTCGACTATAAATTTGTTAAAATTAGAATTCAAATAAACATGAATTTAATTCTAAAAATTTTCAATTCAAATTTCACATCGAGATTCATCCCGCATTATTTTTGGACTTCGATGCTTCTTACTCAAGGAAATATATTTCAAACCATCAAATTAAAATATTGAGAGTGAGAAAAATATTACTTGGCTGGACCTCCTGGTGGTCGTCAACATGAACTTCTCATCAATAATGTGAACTAATTAAAATCTTCTTCTTTATAATTTCAGCCTTCTATAGAGTAGACGTGTCAATTGGAGCAAAAATAATTGAAAACTTATCTCCAAAGTTTTCAAATTATCTTGCATTTAATCATAGAGGCTTAGTTGGAATTTGAATGTACAAAACTTAGTCCATATCTTTGAAAAATGGCCTCATCTACCCCCGAAACGTCAGAATAAGTATATTTGGGCCTAATATTGGAAAAATTATTAGGTCCGGACACCTGACATAGCTCTATATCCGGACGTCAATAATATGTCGCCACGTGCTCTTACTTTTTACCGCGCGGCCCGACGACCCGACCCAGACTGGAACCCGATATTGTTATGTTTGGGAATTGCTATGTATTGCTCGGTATTGCTTTACAATAATGAGAAATATCGCTTTTTCAAGACTAATACATAGTAATACCGAGCAATACCTAGCAATACCTAGAAAAATCGGGGTATTGCTAGGTATTGCTCGGTATTGCTAGGTATTGGACTTAACGGAGTGGTATTTATTATTATTGCTGACCAATACCGAGCAATGCCGAGCAATACCTAGCAATACATAGCAATACACAAATCAGCCAATACATAGCAATACCAGGGCGGGTCATAGGGCCGCGCGGTAAAGAGTAAGAGCACATGGCGACATATTATTGATGTCCCGATGTAGAGCTACGTCAGGTATCCGGACCTAATAATTTTTCCTAATATTGGGCATGACAATGACATCTTTTTGAGCTAAATTGATACCCATTATGGGATGCCGTTCTGACTTTGTGATGCACATCATGAAGAGTCGTGTTTTTGGAGTTTTTTTTTTTTTTTGTGAGATAGATTTTTTTCTTCATATTTTAGAGATTTACTTTCTCTTTTTTCTTAGAGAATACTTTTTTATTTCATTTTATATATTTAGTGGCGGAACCACGGTGGGAGCATAGGGGGAACATGCCCCCATTGGCTAGCTCTAAGGGTGTCAATTTTTGATACGACCGGAAATCCGACCCGGAAAAATCCAGGTTTGGGTCAACCAAGACCCGAAACGGGTCGTGTTCGAGTTCAACAAATAAACTCGTTTTAAAAATCGGGTCGGGTTTGGATTGACCTAGCAACCCAAACTTGATTCGAAAATGACCCGAAATTGACACGAAAATTCCTATTTGACCCGGAAACCCGAGATTGACCCGAATTTTTACCCGAAATTAATAATTTTAGGTCAACTTTGAGTCATTCGTGTTGGGTCGAGTTGACCCGGACTCGAATCGGGTCAGATTTGGGTCAGGAAACTTGACCCGTTTTTTAAAACGTTTCGGGTTCAGGTTGACCCTAATTGTGCCAGGACAGTTCCGGGTTCGACCTGAATCTGATCCATTGACCCGAATTGACACTACTAGCTAGCCCGATGCAAAATTTTTTTGAGGTAAGTTTCTTATTTATATATACATTAAAAAAACTAATTCTATTCGTGCTTGCCGACTGCCGCTATACGTCTCGGGACGGTCTCATGCAATCACGAGTCGTGCATGAGTAGAATTCTTTACCGAATCACCGTCTCCCGTGACCCGTCTCTGTTTGCTGAGGAAATCATGAAGAAACAAAGTGTTGTAATATAGATTAATTGGATTTGGATATAGCTTTGGCGTTTGGATTTTAGAGAGAATTTATTGCTTCTGCCAACAAGCAAAAAGTTTTTTTTTTTTTTTAAGCAAAAAGTTCTTTTTTATACATATTTTCAAACTTTTTATATCTATTACCATTTTTTTTTCAACAAAACAGAAATTTCATTCATAATAAAAGGTAACAGCATAGGCCCAAAACAGCACAAAGTAAAGAGCCCAAAAAAAGTTACAAATAAAATACATTGACAAATAAAAAACAATCTCACAAACTAAATAACCCAAACAGGGAAAAAAGAGGGGAGTAACGGAGCAAGAGCGGACTCAGGCCGCCACCTGGTTGCCAGGCTTGGGCCGTCCAGTCGTCAGTAAGGTTGCATCCAAGCCCAGGCCATCCGAGGGGCCTCATCATAGTCCTCCAAAAGCCAAGCCAAGCCAAATCGAAAGCAAAACCAATAAAAAAAAGTAATCTTCTTGATCTTGGAATTCTCCTTTTACTTTTCTTTATTTATCTTTTTGGCTTTAAAACTCTCGTCATCAATTTGAATGATTATTTTCAAGTCGTATTTTTCCTGAGAATCCTCCTTCCTCACATAAAATTACACTTCCCATCATCATCTGAGTTGGTTGTCAAGGTATTCGCTAGGACATGCAACACACACTATCCCCTAATGGTATTTAAGGTATATTGCAATTGCTACCCATAAGGGGACATAGTTTATATGGATCAGAAAATGAGGGTCCTGATACTTTTAGACAAGGGCTCGTCACCCATTCAAGATATTTTTGGCAAGTAACCAAATGCCAGGACATCATCACCAGCAATGCACTCCCTGCTGAACTATACACCGGGCAGCATCAAGACTAAATCAGAACAGACCGAAGGAACAAACCATCTTCAGAAAACAGTGTCACAGTCATTGCCACAAGGGAACACTTAGGCTCAATGTACTAACCACGCCCCTTCAACGGCGGCAAAATCACACTAATTTCACACTTTATCACCCTCAACCGAGATCATCACACCACATCCAATTCCTAGCAAGGGCAGACAAACCCCCAATTTGATTGTCTCTAACCTAACACCACCTAAGATGCTTTTGCGGCCCTTCAGAGACTTTGATACCCAAGGAAGAAACATAGATTGAATAGGAGACATGTAAGATCGGGAAAAGACACGGCGATAAAACACAAGGAGAGAGGATAGTAATAGGACACAGAGAAGTAAGAGCAGAAGCCCCAACATCCTTAACATTACCCTCACCACATAAAGGCACAGACGGGGCAGCAGGCTTTGCTTCATCCAAAGGTCGACATTCACCAACAGAATGCCCAAGACGCTTACACTTGGAACAAAAGCGAGGAAATTGTTCCATAGCAACAGATTGGAAATACTAAAAATTCTCTAGACCTAACCAAATTTTGTCTGCAAATTTCTTAGTAATATCAATTTCCACCAGCACCCGTGCAACCGATGGACGGGATCCAACCGCAGTTGCAGTGTCTACCTTCAACGGGTTACCAAATAAAAGCCTCAAACCATGCAAGATACGCGAAGAGAAGAAATGGGGACGCAAATTAGGGAAGGAAATCCAAATCGGGACAATGGGAGATTCATCCCCAATGTCACCATAAGGTGACCATTTAGTCACCTTCATGAAGCAATTGAAGACTAGATAAGACCGATGCAGAACACCCGACTATAATCAAGATCGTTAACCAGCTTAATAAGGACATGCGAAGAATCCAACACAGTCACAGAAAAAGATCCATTTAACCGCAGATTGAAAAAAAACTTACGAATCAAAGCAAGCGGCTGCCGACGGTTAGGAAAAAAACCTACCAGCGAAAACATAAAAGGTTCGGCAAGAGCCAAAAATTCCTCACACGACATCAACAGAGCAGGAACTCCCTGGAAAGACGACCAAATAAGATCCGGAAACTTACCATGAGACAATCCCGTTAAAGCTTCTACAAAAGAACGAGACCTAGCCGCCCCGTCCAGAAACCCCGGGTCAGAAGCACCACACGCTGCCATAAAAGAAAAATAAAAAAGAGAGAACGAAAGCAAAGTCCTAGCACAGCGCCACTCCCGCTTGGTCTCTCTTCGATGACCTAGACGAGCAAATGACTAGACTAATGTACTAACTTGTATAGAAAACCCCTATTATATC